TGAGACGAAGTGAAAACATTTCATATCAATGCCTGTCTGGCATTGCATTGTTGTACAGTGTACACCATCCATTATCTACCAAAGAACTGGTCACCACACCCTGTCCCATCATCTGATTTCAACAGATTCATAGGCCTTCAACCAAAACCAATCCTCTATAGGACTGGACGTTTCATTGTCCATTTCTAGTACTAAACCACACTTTCTACAACCAGATGGCTTGCTGGCCTGGAACTCGGGGGCAGCCTAGGTTGTGGGTGTAGCCACCACTGCAGGTGACAGGTCACAGCACCAAGCCAGCCTTGGACTTCATCCCCAGTGCTTTCGATGCAACACCTGTATCTTTGCTCCCAACGGCACCGTTGCAGGAACCATGCCCACTCTTGTGGCCATTCTTCTGAGAATGCGGCTGCGGCTGCGGCTGCGGTTGCTGCATGAGGTGTTGCTGGCGCTGCTGCTGCTGGGCCGACACTGTCTGCTGCTGAGCGTGGCAGAGCTGGCGGCAGGAGAGGAAGAAGAGCAGCGAGTGGTAACCCACCAACGCCATCACTGCATAGCCCTCCCACCACCGCGACCACACCAGCAGCAGCAGCAGCTGGGACGCCTGGTATTTCCATCGGCACGCCACAGAAAATGGAAGTGTCAAGACAAACGCAAGTACAGGAGAGACGTGGGGGGGGGAGGGGGGGGGGGGGGGTTTCTATGTATGGCAGGTGGCATTGCATTCCGCTCGTAGGCACAGGAGGTTGGTGCTTACTGAGATACATGTCTGCGTGCATTTAGGAGGTGCGTGAAAAATCGGCAATGTTGCTTTCTGGTCAGAGGCAGGAGGTTGGGACTTACCGAGACGCAGATCTGAGTGCCGACCACACCAGTTGGAGAAGACCAGGGGCTGGTGGTGTAACAGCTGCAGGCACAAGGAGAGACACAGGACAAGACAGGAGGCAAGGCAAGAAGAGACAACCGGCCAAGAAAAGACGCAATCACGCACACAGCAGAATCCAGTCATGTTGCAGACACGGAACAGCACAAATGACACAGCTATAAGGGGCAATAGGACTTACAAAGAGGAGTGCAGCAGAGAGCGACCCTGGTTGCGCAGTGTTGAATCTGCCCACGCCCACAAAGAGGCGGCCCCTCTCTGCACAATCGCGCCCTCGCTGTACGGCACACTGTGGGGGTTCCACTCTGCCACGTCCCTGATATGCACGAAAGGGGAGAGACGGGGTGAAGGGAGAGGAATCGCCATTGAGACTAGGAGCCCCAGCCCAGCAAATAGGCAGCCCCCCTGTAAACTATGGCGCCCTCAATGTGCGGCACATTGTGAAGTTTCCACTCTGCCACGTCCCTGGTGAGAGAGAGAGCTTCGAGAGAGACACAAAGATAAGCCCAGTACCCCCCATATGCAACAAAGATGCCACCTCCTGGGAAACGCTCAGCGATAGTCTAAGTCGTTAGTCTAAGTTGTTATGCTGATAGTGAAGTCTGGTACGTCCACTCTGCTGCGATGACAAAAACTCTAAGCTCCTCCTTATGAGACGCCTCCTTAAAACACACCTTCTTATTAGAGCCACACCTTTCATCATCCTGAGACGGCTTGAGATGTCTCCACGTCCATGCACCTGCTGATGGTGAAGTTGGGTGCATCCGCTCTGTGCCAGCACCCTAGTGAGAAGACACACAGACCAGCTGCCGCCTCTTAAACTTCGACCTACTAAGGCACTACTCTCACCGGCTGATGGTGAAGTTGGGTACGTCCACTCGGTGCCAGCACCCCAGGTGCGACGACACATAGTCCAGCTACTCTTTTCATCAACATGAGACAACAGGTCACAACAAACCAACTGTGCACAACGCACCTGCTGATGGTGAAGTTGGGTGTGTCCGCTCTGTGCCAGCACCCCTAGTGAGAAGACACACAGACCAGCTGCCGCCTCTTAAACTTCGACCTACTAAGGCGCTACTCTCACCGGCTGATGGTAAAATTCGGAACGGCCACCCGGTGCCAGCACCCCAGGTGCGATGACACATAGTCCAGCTGCTCCCTTCGAAGACGCGCAGAAACCTCCAAAGGCGCGAGGCGCAACCGCAAGGGCGCTACGCGCAACTGCAAAGGCCCTGCTCTCACCTGCTAATAGTGAAGTTTGGAACGTCCACTCGGTGCCAGCACCCCAGGTGCGACGACACATAGTCCAGCTGCTCCCTTCTGAGCGCCGCCTCCTTCATGAGCAGCAGCATGAGCGCGCCCATGAAGGCGTAGCCGAGGAGTAGGCAGCAAGAGACGCGGCTGAAGAGCACATCCTCATGCATCTGAGGGACGAGGAGGGAGGAAGGAAGGGGGAGTATGTGGCGAAAGAGCAGGAGGCAAGGTGAAATTCGGCGGTTTGAGCCACCTCCTTCACGAGCACCAGCACGAGCGCGCCCACGAAGGCGTAGCCCAGGAGCAGGCAGCAGGAGACCTGGCTGAAGAGCACGTCCTCGTGCAGCTGGATCGGGAGGGGGGTGTGGCAGACGAAGAGCATCAGGTAAGAAGGGGGGTATCAGGGGTCTGAGCTCCGCCTCCTTCATCAGCAGCAGCATGAGCGCCCCGGTGAAGGCATGAGACCCGGAGCAGGCAGCAGCAGGAGACCCGGCTGATTAGGGCGTGCTCATGCATCTGGCGGAAGGGGGAAGGGGGGAGGGGGGAGGGGGGAGGGGGGAGGGGGGAGGGAAGAGGGATGTGGCAGTAGGGTAGGAGATACTGGTGTTTATCAGGGAGGGAGCTGAGAACCCCGCCTTCATCAGCAGCAGCATGAGCGCTGAGCCTTACAAAGGCATACGCCAGGAGCTAGCAGCAGGACACGCGGCTGATCGTGCACCTTGGGAGGGGGGAAGGAGGGGGGGGGAGGGGGAGAGGGGAGGATGTGGCAGTAGGGTAGGTGACAAGGGGGTTATCACGGGGCTGAGCGCAGGCTCTCACACCAGCAGCAGTATGACTGCTGCTCCACATGCACGCCTCTCCCAGCACGCGGCGCATCAGCAGCTCGGGCACATTCCAAACGCTTGGATAAACTAACTTTTAAGGCGCCTCTCCCAGCACGCGGTGCATCAGCAGCTCAGGCACATTCCAAACGCTTGGATAAACTGAAAGAGACACTCGCATAGGTGCCACAAGGTAGCTACCCGGCCATGCACGGCTCAACGAGCACCAGGCGCATGAGCAGCTTGGGGAGGCTACAAGCAGTTGGACAGGCAGAGCAGAGCAGTTTGAAGAGAAACTTACATAGGTGCCTTTGATGGGGACGATCCCCACGAGGTAGCTGCCCATGCACGCCTCCACCAGCACCAGGCGCATGAGCAGCTTGGGCCAGCGCCGCAGCATGCGAGTGAAGCGCGCAAAGTCCGAGGACGAACCAGACAGCGCAGCTGCTGCTGCTGCACCCCCCGAGCCGCCAGCGCCACTGCTGCTGCTCCTCATGCTGCTACCTCTGCTGCTGCTGGTGCTGGCACTGGCACTGGCACCGGCGCTGCTGCTGCTGGTGCTGGTGCTGCTGACAAGGCCAGTGCTTTCCCTGCTGCTGCTAGCGCTGATACTGCCCCCGCTGGTGCCAGTACCCGAGCTGTCAGCACTCATCGTACCCGTCCTCGCCTTGCTGCCCTCACTCGCTCCCCTCCCCCCTGCACCTTCCCCTGGCGGCTCTCCCGTTGAGAGCTTCGCCTGTAGTGACGCCTGATGAAGGCTGTTTGGCTGGTGCAACGGGGTTGCTGCTGCAGCAGCAGCAAGTGCTGTTCCCTGAGTGACGAGGCGGTTCTGGAGCCCATCTCCCTTGGACGTGGAGGTGTCGGGGATGGAAGAGGAAGGGGGGCGTGGGTGCTTAGACTAGGTGCGTGACTGGGGGGTTGAGAGAGGGAGCAAGCGGGAGGAGGAAGGGACGAGGCTGGCTGGTGCTGATGCAGAAGGAGCGGTTGCTGTAGGGGTTGTGATGAAAGCGAGGCAGCTATTGTGGAGGATGGAGGAATAGGGAGGGGCACTGCTGGTGCTGCTGGTGCTGATGCTGCTGGTGCTGCTGGTGGTGGTGTGGTGCTCTTATCGGAGGTGAGATAAGAGGGGACGAGAGAAGAGGAGCGCAGGGAAGGGAGGGAGGGAGGAGGGGAGGATGGGAGGGCGTCGCGATGGAGAGACCTGATCTGGTGGTTGAGGAGAGCCACGATGATGGAGTAGCAGATTGGCCTGGTGGCAGGGATAGGACAGGGGGGAGGGGGGAAGGGGGGAGAAGGGGGGGTAGGTGAAAGAGAGGGTTAGTGAGTAATGCAACAAGCTACGGAGAGACCTGATCTGGTGGTTAAGGAGAGCAACGATGATGGAGTAGAAGCACGTCACGGGGTGTAGAAGCAGATCGGGATGGCAGCAGAAGCACGTCACGGGGTGAGGAGGGGAGGTAGAAACAGAGGGATGGTGAGCGGTACAAATTATGGTACGTGTTGAGTCATTAGCTGCTGAGACAAGAGCGTGGAAAGTGCCATGCCATGGCACGTACGGGATGAAGAGCAGCAGCTGTCAGTCACTCTTTTGCGAAACTTTTTTATCTTAACGCTTATGGCATGGCACGTACGGGATGAAGAGCAGCAGCTGCGACTGCCATGGTAGAGTGAGGGAGAGCTTGAGCGCCAGCAAAGCCACCGCTGCCACATACAGAAGAACCTGCAATGAGCAGAGCAGTGCAGAGAGCGAGTAACGGGTGGTGAGCGGATGGGTATGTGCATGCAAAAAGACATCTCATAGCACCAGAAGCATGGTCCTACACCAGGCTCAATAGAACCGGGGTAGGGTTTCTGAGCCTCTGTGCATGTGGGTACGGCATTGTGGTACTGTGCATACAAAATCCATATCTGCATGTGTCAGAGAAGGCTTTTCATAAGGAAGGGAGCTTCGTACCAGAAGCAGGGAGTTGCAGCTGCCAGTGACGATGCCCATGTGGGGGAAGAGATGGCAGTGCTCTTGGTAATGCTCTGGCAGTAAATCGCATGGCCCTTGGGAGGCGAAATTACCACCACCAGAACCAACAGCATCCACACCAGCAGCAGCAGCACCACCACCACCACCACCACCACCACCACCACCACCACCGCCAGCGCCTGACGCAGTGCTGTGTTGTCGTCCCTCCTCATCCCCTCCGCCGCCTGCTGTTGCTGCTGCTGCTGCTGCTGCTGCTGCTGCTGCTGCTGCTGCTCCTGCCATCATACCGCCCTCTTCACACCCATTGCCATTCAAGCGAACAACCTCACTCCCAGCAGCAGCAGCAGTGGCATCACCATCAATGGCACCTCTACCCTTCCCCTCTTTCGGCTTCACCTCCGTTTTATCCTGCTCTCCGCCATGCCCTGCCTCACCCCCCTTCGCACTCCACCCTCGCTTTGTGCTGGGATCGTTGCACTTGTCGTATGGAGCGGCGGCAAGGGGGGTCTGCTTATTGGCGGCAGGGGGGTGGAAGTCAACGAAGCAGGCGACTATGCGGCGGAGGAGGAGCAGGCAGACCAGAGTGACCTGGGAAGAGCAGAGTGGAAGGGGAGCGCAGGGCCAAGAACTTAAGGGAGAGATGAGGATACTCTCAAGTCAAGGGATGGGGTAAAGGGGCCGAGACGATGATGCACGGGTGGCTAGCAACCGCACATCAACAGTCCATCCAGGGGAGCTCCTGCGTCTCTCCACGTAATAGTTCATGTGCCGGACGGACGGATGGCTGTCGTGTGTACTTAATCACTAACCTAACGTGCTAACGTGCTCGTACTGCATAACGTGCTATAACGCGGACTGCGTACTCACATAAGCGTAGCCAATGGCGACTCAACACGTGGTGGTTGAAGCCTCAGAGCCCCTGGCGAGAACTCGCGACGTGGTAGCTAATATCTAGCAACTCAAACGTATTAGTCAATGTCTTATAACGCGGACAGAGCCCCTAGCGAGCACTCACGACGTGGTAGTTGATGTCCGGCAGCGCGCAGCGGTGGAGGCAGAGCAGCTGGATGGCGAGGAAGACGCACATGTGCAGGAAGAACATCGCCTCCACGCGCACCTCCGTCAACCCCCCGCCCATCATGCCCCTCCTGCTGCTGCCGCTGCTGCTCAACCCCCTGTTGCTGCTGTTGCCGCCGCCGCCGCCGCTGCTGCTTCTGGCGCTGCTGCTGCTGTTCGTCAGCCCGCTGTTCCCGCTGCTGCTCTTATTATTCGAGCCTCCTCGTCCCGTCTCCGCAACCCCTTTCGCGCTCCCCGCCTTCTTACCCGCCGCACTGACAGTCACACTAGAATCCCCTCTCTTTACCATGGTAGAAACGGTCCCGATAAGCGCAGAAGCCTCACCCTGCTGCTGCTGCTGCGGCTGCTGGGTCTGAGTTGCAGCGGGACTAGGGTTGCTGACGTGAGCGGAAGAATGACCAGCATTGCTCTCTACCCTACTCTTAACCGGCTTGCGCCCTCCACTTCCGCCTCTGGGGGGCGGAGAGGCGTCACGGGGGAATGCCGGGGGAATGGTCGCCCGCGTGGGTGAAGAGGGACCATTGGCAAGGGATCGGTGGGAGTGCCGCCTGGTCGAGCTCATGACTAGGGTTTCACGCGGAACGTCGGGTTTGAAAGCGGAAGGGAGGAAGACAGGGATCGGGATACGAATGAGTGAAACGGATAAGGTAGATCGTTCAAGAAACTCCGGGGCAAGTCACGGATGGTAGGACGGTCAGCTACAAAAAAAAAATCCGTGCAAGTACCAAAGCTGACAGTGTAACCAACTACAGGAACGAGGGGGAGAAGGGAAGCAGGAAACGGACATTTCTCGCATTTCTCGTATGCAGGCACCCAGCAGCATTCACCTGGGACCCTAGAAACTTGAAAGGATTCGAAACTGAAATTGGTTGGAAATAAGGAGACGGAAAAGCTTACCCGCTTACAGATCCGATAACGCAGCGAGGCACCATGGGTTGTGACGTAAAAAGTTTCTGCTGGTCACACTACTGTAACTTCACCATGAAGAATCAGAAACGACGCTGATCATATTACCGTGCGACTAGGACTACTGGGTTTACACGCAACTGCGTAGACAAGCCTTACAGGGGTAAAACTCTAGGCTCCTAGCTATCTGTGGCTCGGCGATGCCTCCTAACTACTGCATTTGGTCTGCAGATGATGCGAAGGACAAACTTCAAGGGACCGTCCGGCTGGCTCGGGAATTCTTCGAACCTGCAGTTCAGGTTTGAAGGGTGGTCTGACGGGTTCCGGCTCTGACAGGTTCGGCTTCTGATGGATGCCTGATTTTGTCCCTTGAATGCCTTGCCAATTTGAGTGCATCCGCAGTGAATGCCATGCCGCGTGAAGTCAGCTTGTTATTCAATCATCAGCTGTTCATTCATATATATAATTCCATTCATGGTGTTCGCACATCGGGCAATGAAACACTAGCACTCGCATGAATGAGACAACTCTCGATTTTTTTTGTAAACGTGTTACTTGTAGCATGCTATGATACAAGGTTATTTTCCAATGATAAGGTTGCCACTGACAAAGTGCATTTATTCATTATTACAGTTTTTATTATAATTATGGCGATCTATTATTTTAAGTAGATATATTATACAAGAATCGTTTCCTAAATTATAGATCTAGTATGGAGAGAGGATATCTAGCACGTGGTTTTTGAAGTGCATGCTCGTATCGCATACGCCGCTCTTCATCTCAAGCCACTTCTGATGGACCTTCTCCCGCCTTCACAAATTTCAACCCTACGAAACCAAAGCCATGGCCGCCGCCTTTCGAGTCGCATTTATCGAAACCTCCGGGTCCGTCCCCGGCTTCGAATCGAATTCACCTCGGTAATTCTATTCAATTCCTTGTCCTTATTCACCTCATCTGGTCACCTGTCCCCCGTGACGAACCTCCCACCAAGGCTCGTATGTTCTCCGCGCATATTTGTGATCCGTTAGCGTCCGTTTCGTTGTGCCGCCAAGCCTTCCAGCCTAGAATAAAACCGCGCGCCTCGTGAAATCCCCCCTAGCGTCGATCCTTCGCATTCGGGGATAAGAATCCACCGCCAGTGGCACCTAGTATCTTGGAAAGCCGCCAGATTCCACCGCAAGTGGCACCGCCAGTGGCGATTGAACGAATGGTCCTTAGGCTTCTGCGAGCGAACCACGCTCCCTGCCTCCGAGTCCCACAGGGAGTCTCGGCCATCCCTCCCGCCATGCTCACCACGCTCACCCAGCCTCACCTCACCCGTCGCCTGCTCTTTCTCGCTCTCTTTCTCCAACGCCCGTTCTCGCCTTTCGGCTTCTTTCACGGTCTTCCCTCTGCTCCTAGTTCCGGCTTCCCTCACTCGCCTCGTTCTCAGGGCTTGGCTGCTAGCAACGACGGTCACGTTCAGCTCTGCTTTCTAGCGCGGAGCGAGACGAACTCCGTCGGCTCAGACGAACTGGCCTGCCTGCTTCGACGCGGCTCATCGCGACGTCCGTCGCAGCCTTCGCGTCGTCAAAATGACCGACATGCGCCGGACGAACGGTCGTCGTGGTCGCAACGGTCGCACCGGTCGCACATCGCAGTCGCTCACACCATGTGCCTCTGGCTGCACTCAGACTTGGCGGTCGTAAGCGACGCGGTCAATTTTTGTCGAATCGTCTCGGTTACTTCCAGTAGTCACGATTACTGCAGTCCAAGTGCTCCGCCGACGGATTTTATCAACGGCGGCCGTACCTTGCACGCGTCGTCATCAAGTCGGTCAAAATCCGTTTCAAGGTAACGGGAAGCGTCCACTGTCGTTATTCCCCTAAAAATCGATATTCAATCGGTTTGTTCATTAATCTTTCTCGTTTTACCGCTCGATTGCAGGTTCTCTGAATCCCGGCGGGAATGACAGTTGCTCGTATTTCAGCCGCGATGCTCGCCGCAATGTCGAGTCAAGCTGCTCGTTTCTCAGCCGTGCTCCGTCGAAGCAGCGAGGAGCGACGGAGGAGGCATGTGGCGAGGAAGTCCAAGCTGCAACGATGTTGGGTTCAGCCTGACGGTTTCCGTCAACCTGATGATTCGGTCAGGTGTGTGGTTGGGCGCAGAAATCTTTCGTCAAGCCGGCTGATTCCGTCCAGCTTGTCATCTCGTCGACACTGATGTTTCCCGTCAAACTAAATTTCCGCCGTCAAAATTCTGTTTCCTGTCGAACTGGTGTTTCTGATTGTCGCGTGCGACCTGACCAAGTCAACATGTGATCCATTGGTCTCATCTGAACCTGCACGCGATTGGAAGACGATCAAGTTCAATTGAATGCGACTTGCCGGCTCGACCTGAACCTGGTGCCGTTCATCACCGCTCCTCACCGCTTCTCGTCGCCCTCCACCGCCTTGTCAAGGTGATCCTCCAACTCTGCTGTTCTGCTATTCCGTCATTCCGTCAAATTTAGCTACCTCCTCTGCTGGTCAATTTCCGTAGTGGAAGTCCTTATTTTCCCGCTCGCAACTGACTCGCGGCTTTCCTTATCTTACTGTATCTCGCCTCGAGCAGACGATACGTCGTGCTGTGCGGTCGTCGGAGCAGAGGATGCACCACGCGACGATGTCCAGACCTTCATGATATCCTTAAGATTCGTTAGCCATCGTCGCCCTGATTCGCATCGTCGCCATGGTTCACATCGTCGCCATGATTATCCTGGTCGACGTGATTTGCCTCGTCGCCGTGATTCGCATCGTCTCTCTGCCGTCGCCGTCGTTCCTGCTCGCGGTCGCACTGCGTGCGATCTCGCTGCTGGTACGTCCGCGGGAAAGCCTCTTGGGGGAGGACGAGTAGGTGTCGCTGCCTAGCGCGTCTGCCGATTCGTCCTTGTTGCGAGTCCAACCTTTTCCGTGCCGCTGCTAACAACCCTCCCTGTGCGTGTGTGCTGCTGTCGGTGCTTGTGTGTGCGTCCGACCCGCCGCCGGTGCGTCTGAGGAAGGGCGGACAGAGTGGAGGAGGGAGGCGGTGGGTGGCACCGTGGCAGAAAGCACGGGTGGCGCGCCGCAGAGCAGCGAGAATGGTGGGGTCACATCGTTGCTGCGCGGAGATAACGCACGGCCGTTCTGCGCGGCTCGTCTGCCACCCCGACACCGCATGCATGGTTCTGCGCAGAGGACATGCCTTTGGGGGGGACGAGTAGGCGTCGCCGCCTAGCGCGCCTGTCCACTCTTCCTTGCATTGAGTCGTCGCCCTTTCCAACCGCTCCTAACACGCCCGTTCCTCTATTGCTTTCTGTTTGTGTGTGCGCGTGTGGGGTTATGGCCTCTCCGAGCCACCGAGTCTGCAGACTCGTGAGTCTGTAGGTTGAACGAGAGACACTTGGCTGGCGGAATGCAGGTTCGGCAGCGCACGCAGTGGATCGGGCGTTGCTCGGCCTCGTGCCCCTTCTCCCCCCGCCCACCCATCCCCTCCCTCCTCCTACACGGTAAAGTCCGGGGGAAATGCCTGTGGGGGGGCGATTGAGTGTGCAGGCGGCCGCTAGAGCGTCTCGAGTCACGCTCGTCCATTCGAGTCGTCCCCCCTCTCGTCCTGCTGCTCACCCCTGCCTCCTCTTCTGTTTACCTTTCGTGCTTGCATGGGGGTGGGCGTTCTTACGGCCTCCGAGCCTCCAAGGCTGTGCAGTCTGCTGTGGGAGGGAGGGGGGGAAGGGGAGGAGAGTGTGTGTGTTGGAGCATGGCTGGCAGACTGCAGTCTGGGCGGCAGTGGCGGCACCAGTGATTATGGAGGCACTCGGCTTCTTCCCTCTCCTCTCCCCCCTTAAAACCCCCCTCCTCCTACATGGTAATTCCGGGGGAAATGCCTGTGGGGGGGCGTTTGAGTGTGCAGGCGGCCGCTAGAGCGTCTCGAGTCACGCTCGCCCATTCGAGTCGTCCCCCCTTCTCCCTCTGCTGCTCACAGCCGTTCGTCCGCGTGTGTGGGGCATGGGGCATGGGGCATGGGGCATGGGGCATGGGGCATGGGGAGGGGAAACGAGTGTGGATGGTGAGGTGCAGGTTGGACACATGGGCGGCAGACTGGAGGTTGGGCGGGAGAGGCAGCAGCAGCAGCAGCAGCAGCAGCAGCAGCAGCAGGGGCAGGGAAGGAGGGGTAAGCGGCAACGCCTCAAAGTCTCAAAGCTAAGTACCCTCACCCTGCCTACCGTCTGCTGTAACTTGTGATGCCACACCATGCTTTGACATGCCATGCAGGGAGCAGCAGGCGAGGGGCGGGAAGGCATGCAGGGAGCAGCAGGGGAGGGGCGGGAAGGCATGCAGGGAGCAGCAGGGGAGGGGCGGGAAGGCATGCAGGGAGCAGCAGGGGAGGGGCGGGAAGGGATGCAAGGAGCAGCAGGGGAGGGGCGGGAAGGGATGCAGGGAGCAGCAGGCGAACAGGGAGCAGTGCATGCAGGGAGCAGCAGGGGAGGGGCGGAAAGCGGAGGGGAGTGGAGGGACGGGCGCCCAGCAGCGAGGGAAGGAGGGGGGGGGGAGAGTGGGAGCAGGGCGCCCAGCAGCGAAGGGAGAGTGTGGGGTGGGGCAAGGGTCCATGGAAAGAGGTGAGCCCCGTTCCTACCCCATCCCTCGTCTGCCTTCCATCCTTCTCAAGGCTTCTCAAAGCTTTCAAAGGGTTGAAAGTCTTCTCTTCTTTCAAGCTAGCTTGCAACTTGTGGCTTGCAACTTGTGGCTTGCATTTCGTTTGCTTTGCTTCCCTGGTGCAACTTGTTTCAACTCGTGTTACTCCCTGCAACTCCCTTTGCTCGTTATTCCTGTGCTCTTTTGCCTTCATTTCCTGCATCTGGTGGTGTGACCACCAAGTGGTGTTCTCTGGTGGTGTGGCCACCAAGTGGTGTTCTCTGGTGGTGTGGCCACCAAGTGGTGTTCTCTGGTGGCTAAGTGGAGAAATACGCTTGGGCAGCCTAGCGTATTGCGTACATACGCTAGCGTATAATACGAATACGCTGTACGCTAGCTAAGTACGCAATACGCTAGCGTATTTCTTGGCGGGCAGCCCGGCAAGAAATACGCAAAAAAACGATGCGACAAATTTGCGACATGACGAAACCCCACAGGGATTTCGCCATGTCGCAAACCGAAATTTGGCTTTTCAAATCGTCAACCCAACCCCTTCGCCCCTCCCAACCACACAGCATCCCACCCAATCTGCGACTTCCAAGCAACACCCAAAGAAATCTCCTTCCTCTCCCTCTCTACTCTACTCCAGCAGGGTTCAGCGCAGTGCACTCCTACGACGAAATCAGGGTACAAGTAAACTGGCGCGCTAACTTCAGTCATTTCTACTTCCAAGCTAGCGCGACTAGCTAGCTGGTTTTTTAGCGACTGTTGCTATGTCGAACCCTCCACCTAGTCCTGGTTCCCACGGAACCGACGCGGGAACCTCCTGTGCTGCGTCTTCCTCTGACGAGCTCCTGGAGAACTCCACCCACGCTATCTTTAAGCATTTCAAGTTTAAGCATAAGGAGCACGGCAAGCAGCAAAAGTATTGGTGCAAGTACTGCCCGTATCCTTTACCGGGACGGCCTACCGCTGCGCACAGCACATCACTAGTTGGGATGGTATGCGTAGGCGCGAGGTTCGGAAATGCGAGGAGGTAGGGAAGGAGGAGCAGGCTGCCGTCCGCGCGTTCCAAACCGCCAAAGTGCTCGCGAGGGAGGAGGCGCATAGGGCGGAGGAGTCGGCCCTCGACGCCGTTAGTGGTCGGGGAAAGCGGAAGATCACCGATTACCTGTCCGATGACGCCCAAGCGGCCAAGGCGGCGGCGGACGAGGCTATTTGCCTCCTCTTTGCCGGCCTCCGCCTTCCCGAGCGCCATGCCGACCACCCGCTTTGGCGCAACGCCGTCCGGTCCATCGCGCGCGCGGGGACCAGCTATGTGCCTCCAAAGCGCGACTACGTGGGTGGTGCCGGCTTGCAGCTATGCCGCAAGCGGATTGACGAGGGATTGACGGGCGTCATGTCGAGCTGGAAGCGCCACGGCGTGACGATTGCCAGCGACATGATGACCGACAAGTGTGGCAGGCCGCAGGCGAATGTGATGCTGGTCAATGACACCGGTGCAGTGTTCGTCGAGAGTATTGACTGCAAGATGGAGAAAAAGACCGGGGGATACATCGCCCGGCTCCTCCGGCCCATCCTGCAAAAAGTTGGGGTCGAGAACATCGTGGCATTCTGCACCGATGGCGGCAGCAACTACCACAGCGCCTGCCGGCTCCTCATTGCAGAGAATCCGCGCATCGAGCATGTGCCGTGTGCGACGCACGTGCTCGACCTCCTTATGGAGGATGTGGGACGGCAGGCTTGGGCCAAGGAGGTAGTGGGGCGGGCGAGCGAGCTCATCAACTACACCCGCAGCCACCATTGGACCCGACAGTATCTCAGGGGTGTGGACGGAGGGAAGGGGCTGCAGATGCTGAGGCCGGCGGGGACCAGGTTTGGGACGCAGCACATTGCTGTGTCCCGCCTGGTGGAGTTGCGGTCAACGCTGGTGACCATGGTGCTCTGCGATGCATGGAAGGCGGAGTGGGCGGTGGGCCCAAAGAAGGCAGCTGCAGAGACATTCCACGACCAGATCATGGATAAGGACTGGTGGCCAGCGGCTGAGCTCTTCAAGAGGCTGCTCCTGCTCCCGTTCAAGGCCATGAGGGCGACGGATTCGGCAACGAAAGGGATGATGGGCCGCATCTATGAGCTGATGCTTGAGCTCACTGTGAATGTGGCAGAACTGCTGAAGGAGGAGGGGGATGGGGTGCTGAGTGCGGGAGACAAGAAGGGCGTCAATGAGATTGTGAAAGCGGCGTTGGGATGAGAGTATGGCTTGCCCACTGCACGTGGTCGGGCGGATTCTTAACCCGGTCAACCAGGAGGAGCGGATTTTTGGGCCGGACACGGAGTGCACCAATGTGTTCAAAGCTTTCATTGCCCGCCACTATGGCGGGGTGATGATTCCCCAGAGGGATGGCCTGCCCAAGCGTGCCACACTCCTCCTGCAGGAAGGGTTGGCCGCCTTTCTGAAGTTGAGGGGCAGCTTCGGCACGGCTGAGGCCATCAGTGACCGGAAGTTGGTGAAGGAAGGAAGTTATTCCATGGAGGCGTGGTGGGAGTGGCACGGCACTGACCACCCCTTGCTCATGGCCCTTGCTTGCCGTGTGCTAACTCAGCCGGTGTCTGCATCCAGCTGCGAGCGCAACTGGGCGGTGTGGGATACTGTCCACACCGCCCGACGCAACCGGCTGGGTTCAGAAAAGTGCAAGGATCTGGTTTACGTTGCGCACAACTGGAAGGTTGTGCACAACTGGCACATGGCCGACGAGGGGGCGGGGGTGGTGTCCGGTAACATCCCGGACGCCCCCGTCCCTGCGGGTACAGGGTGGATCGGGAGGAGGAGGATGAGGAGGGCGAAGATGAGGAGCTGCTGGACGAGTACCTGTAGAGCAGAGCAGGAGAGGGTTAGGCGGCGGTTTGGGGGAGGCTTACCTGAGATGGGTGGTTGGCTGGTTGTTGGAGTTTGGAACCCTTGACATGCCCTTGGTGGCTTGAACTATTTATTTATTACCATGCTAAATGATGCCACATTTGGTGGGGGAATTTGGTGCTCTGAACCCCCCCTCTTCCCTCCCCAAACAGGTTTTTTTTACCCCTGCCCGAGTTGTTTTTATACCTGCCCGCCAGAGCGTATTTCCTAGCGTATCCAATCCCATAATGAAGCGTACAGCGTATATACGCTAGCGTATAATACGCTTGCGATAATACGCTGTACGCGTATTTCTCCACTTAGTCTGGTGGTGTGACCACCAAGTGGTGTTCGCCCTGGTGGTGTGGCCATTTATCTCCTTCCCCCGCAACCCCCTCCGCCCTTGTCTTCCCCCTTGCAGGTCACTTGGCAGCAGCAGCTAGTAGCAGCAGAGGGGGGGCAGCAACAGCAGAGGGGCAGCAGCAGCAGATGGGGCAGCGGCTAGCAAGCTAGGGTTTAGGGGGTGAGGAGTGAGCGAGGTAAGGTACGGTAAGGTACGGTAAGGTACGGTAGGGTACGGTAAGGTACGGTAAGGTACGGTAAGGTAACGTTCATCAGCCTCGGATGCTGCATCATATCAGCCATCATATCATATCGGAGGACTCCTAGAGGAGTGACAGGAGGAGCAAAAGGAGGAGCAAAAGGAGGAGCAAAAGGAGGAGCAAAAGGAGGGGCAAAAGGAGGAGCAAAAGGAGGGGCAAAAGGAGGAGCAAAAGGAGGAGCAAAAGGAGAAACTATTGAGTCGACTCAAAAGGAAAAAATAGGGGCCACTTGGTTTCATCCCCCCCCACAACACCCCCCCTACCCCCCCTCTCTCCCCTATCCCTTCCCTCCACAGCAGCAAGGCTCCTGCCTGGCAGTTGATTGGATCCCCCCCACTCACCATCCCCCCCCCCCCCCCCCGGCGGCTCCTCCCCCCACTCATGGTGCTCTGCATACCAGCGGTAAGTGGAGATAAGGAGGTAGAGGAGGGGGAAGGGGGGAGGTGGGGGTGGTGGGGGGTCAAGGGGGGGTGGGGTGGGGGGCACGGGAGCAGCAACCAGCTCACTCACTCCGTTAGGGGCAACAGGCAGGCTGGTGCGTGCGTTGCTGGTGGGGGTGTGGCTGGTGGAACTAGCGTGGCGAGGCAGTTGGTGCTCCAGTTCCGAACCTGCGCTGTTCAAGCACAATAGGCCCTGCCACAGCCGTGCTGGCTGGCTGTGGTTCGGGCAAGCTCATGCTATGCCAGGGGGTGGATTGAGTCTTGGGCCAGAAACGCTTATCCACCGCTGCTCCCCTCACTGCAAGGCACAGCCGCTTGGGTGCTGCTTCCGAGACGGAGGGGGCTGTGTGCTGCTCCTACTGCTGGGGGGGTGAAGGGGGAGCGGGCTGGGGGGGGCTGGGGAGGTAAGGTGTGTTGGGAGGGGAGAGTGCTTGAGTAGAAACCCCAGGGTAAGTTGTGAGTGGGAGAGTGGGGAGTGGGGGCTAAATTCCCAGAGAAGGTGAGTGGAAGAGTGGGGATTGGGGGCTGAATCCCCCAGAGGAGGTGAGTGGGAGAGTGGGGAGTGGGGGCTGAATCTCCCAGAGGAGTTGAGCGAGTGGAAGCGTGGGTAGTGGGGGCTGAATCCCCCAGAGGAGGTGAGTGGGAGATTGGGGAGTGGGGGCTGAATACCCCAAGGGAGTTGAGTGAGTGGAAGAATGGGGAGTGGGGGCTGAATCCCCCAGAGGAGGTGAGTGAGTGGGAGAGTGGGGAGTGGGGGCTGAATCCCCCAGAGGAGGTGAGCGGGAGAGTGGGGAGTGGGGGCTGAATCCCCCAGGGGAGTTGAGTGAGTGGCAGGGAGGGGGGTGAAAGCTCTCAGGATAATGTCAGGGCAGGAGAGGGGAGGGGGGCTGGAAACCCCTCAGGGTAAGGCTAAAGAGGGCAGGGGGGGGGAGAGGGGTTGGAACCACCAAGTAAGGGCGAGATAGGGGCAGGGGAACCCCCTCCTCTGCCTCTGGTTCGCCCTAGCTTGGTTTCTGACTCCAAACCCCCTCTCTTGCCTCTCAACAGCCTTACCTTTCTCGCCCTCTTGTTGCCCTGTAGGCTTAAACCCTCTCCTCTGCCACACTCTCACCGCACCTCCCCACTTGTGCCCTAGACATACCTTGGCGGGCTCCAAACCCCCAGATTGTGGTGGAATTGATTCAAACCCCCAGAGTATGGTGGTGGGTGAGAGGGGAAGGGACGTACCTGGGGTTGTTTAAACCCCCAGAGTGTGGTGTGTGAGAGGGGTCGGGACGTACTCTGGGGTTGTGCAAATGATACAGTATCATGTCAGGGGGGGGTTGTTCAGACCCCTATCGCAAGGAGAGGTTCAGGGCCCAGTGGCGGGGGAGGGGGGTTCATACCCCAATTGCTAGGAGAGGTTGGGGAGAAGGGATGCAGGCGAGGCAGGGGAGAGCGGGGCTTGAGACCCAAAATATGAGGAGATGCAGGGGAGAGGGGGGTTCAGACCCAAAATATGAGGAGGTAGGGGAGAGGGGGGTTCAGACCCCAAATACATGGTGAGGCAGGGGAGAGGGGGTTTCAGACCCCAAATACAAGGTGACACAGGGCGGTTCAGTCCACCTCCGTCCAACTGCCTCCGTCCAACCCAACCACCTCTGTCCAACCCACCACCGTCCAACCTCCTCCGTCCAACCACCTCCGTCCAACCACCTCCGTCCAACCACCTCCGTCCAACCACCTCCGTCCAACCACCTCCGTCCAACAACCTCCGTCCAACCACCTGCGTCCAACCCACCTGCATCCAACCACCTGCGTCCAACCACCTCCGTCCAGGCACCTCCGTCCAACCACCTCCGTCCTGAGAGTCAGGGAACAGGGCTGAGAGTCTCCTAGGGTTTGTTGAGTGCAGCAATTGACCGGTGAGGTGGATGGGGCGCAGGGCATGGGTGGTGGTGAGACGCAGGGTATGGGGGTCGTGGGATGCACGGTAAGGGGAGGAGGGGTTGGATGCTAGGTGTGTTTTGGCAGCAGGGGAAGGTGAGTTTGAGAGGCATGTTGGACTGCGCAGCCATACGCCAAGAGAAATGATTTTAGTAGAACGTCAATGAGGCAACAGACAGTGAGAGTTGAGTTCTTGAACCGCCCTGCATACATGTTGTACCTTCTGATGCGTGTGATGTGGACTATGGTGGTGTGCTGGACTGTGGTATATTTACTACGGAACTTAGGTTGTCTATTCATGTGGGGAGTAAAACGCTATGATTTTCTTATAATAGGATTCTTGCTGCTGTTGTACTTCGCTTTATTGCCCACCACCCAAATACCATTTAAGGGAAATAATGTTCGTAAAGAGCTATATCACTGTACCAGCATCAACGAATTTGAACTACGGGATCTGGCTGTGCTAAGTGGCGCGAGGTTTCCCGTTTCGGAGTTTTCAGGGTGATCCTTCCCGCCACAGCTGCTTGACCCCCTGTTCTGTCAGTCCGCCCATAGAGATGAGCCGAGCGGCGGAGCGGAGATGAGCCGAGTTGTGCTTGGCGGAGGGGAAACTAGCGGAGCGGAGCGGAGTTGAGATGGGCGGAGTGGAGGGGCGGAGGAACAGAGTAGAGGCAAGGCGATCCATCCATTCCATTTTCCCTAGATCCTGTCGCTTCGGTTTCTTTCCTTGTCTCCCTCCATATTCCTGATCTAACAGCCTGCGTTCCTGTTCTTACACTGGAGCCTCCTGTTGTTTATGGCTGGCTCTGGGTGTGCTGCCGCAACTCGCGGTTGAGTAAGCAGATGAGTAGGTTACGCTTATAAGGTCACGGCTGTTAGCTACCTGCTAATAATTTTCGTAACAATACATATACTCCTTCGTTCCGAGCAATGGCTTCGTCGCACGCCACAGAGTTCGCGTTTCCGACCAGCTTCGCGAACGATGCGACGTTCCATGCGACAGATCCTGTCGCCTCGGGGCATCTTTTCGATAGAGCGTCGACGCCTTACGGCGCAGCAGGAACAGGCGGCACAAGCGGACTAGGCGGAACAGGGGGAACAGGCGGAACGGGGGGAAAGCTCGGTAGATCCAGGCGATATGGAGTGCGAGCCGACACGCCGTACAGCAGACCGGCGACGGGACGGCACGCCGCTGCCGGCCAGTTAGCCGCTGCTGCCGCTACAGCCGCTGCTGCTACAACCGGCGCCGCTGCTGCTCCGGCGGGTGGTAAAGACGGAGGTTCGCAAAAGAAGGGTTGGCTCGGAGGTTTGGGCGGTGCGATGCTGAGTATGATTGGCTGGCGACGGACCAGCGATCAGGCGAACGACGCGAATAACCCAGGTACAGAGATCTCAGCCGTCCGTTGCTAAAATGTGTTTCACTGATCTAGGCGCCGCTTACCACCGCTCGTGTCATTTCTTTTTCCTGGTTGAGAACTGATCAATTTCTTCAGGTATCATAGCCGTTAGAAGTCTGCCTTTCCGCGCCAGCCAGAAACAATTTTAGGGTTTCTTCAGTTATCATAGCCGTTGAATGTTACCTGCCTTTCCGCAAAAAAAAAACCTAATGCAGTCTCTGCCGCGTACCGAATCTCCGATTCCCGATTCCGGGGATGTTCAAAACGAACAATTCGCGCTTTCCTCGCCTTTGGCCAACGAAACCCTTGCAACGGGATCCACATGAAAACCCCGTCTCACTTCGTTGCAATGTTCGCTCCCACTGGCGAACGTCCCTAACCCTCCCACACCCTCTTTCCCTTGACTGTGTTGTCTGCAATTTTACCAGGGTCGCGACGCCAAGAGGCGATTGCAGGCGGAGCGGATGAGAGAGCTGAGCTGAGCCTAGCTGACGGCATGGCGGCTGTTGCTGCTGCTGGGGACGTGCCTTCGAGTGGGAAGCCCCTGTCGATGTGAGTACGAGTATGGTGCGGTATTTCACGCTGTGCGCGTGTCTCCAGGGTTCTTTCCGCTTCGTCTAGGCTGAAAGCCCCTGTGAATGTGAGTAGGGTGTGGTGTTTCACGCTGTGTGTGCCTCACCAGGGTCGCAACGGCAAGAAGGGACAGCAGACGAGGAGAACAGGCCGGAGCTTACCCTAGCTGACGGCTAGCAATCCTGCCACTGTACTTCTGTAGTCCGTGCATGTTTGTTCTGTTCCAAGATTTTGCGTTGCCCCCCCCCCCCCCCCCCACCCACCTTCTTCTCTTCCACGTTCCGCTCCCACACTCTGTCTGCGTGCGTGCGTTCGTGCGTTCGTGTGCGAGTGCGTGTGTGGCATGCAGGCGTGAGTACGTGCGACTGTCGCAGATGCTGCGCGCTCAGGTGGTTGACCCCGACGCCACTACCGCCCAGTACGCGCTAGTGCCGCTCGAGCGGACCCTTCCGCTCCGGGCCCTTCGACCCGCGCACCGTCGGTCGTTCCTGCCTCCGCAACCACTCCGGCCAGGCCAGCCCAGACCACCCCGTTCCACACTCCTGGTGTGGCAAACCCCACGCCCTTTCATACCCCTGGCGCTGCAGCTGCGGCGACAGCAGCGGCAGCAACGCCCTTCTTTGACGCATCCCGCACTTTCACCACCTCTGCCGCGGGCGCTGGAAGGACGGTGCCCGGAAGGGGCTTGGCAGGGGCAAGAGTTGGGGCAGTACCGGGGGTCGGAGCCGTAACGGGGACGGCAGGAGCAGTGACGGGGACGGCAGGAGCAGTGACGGAAACTCCGTTCTTTGAGGCCGGAGCTAGATTCGCCACGCCTGTGGCCAGTGGTCGGGCGTCGCCCGCTGCTGACGTGGATGGTGCGGATGATGACGAGGACGAGGAGTTCCACACGCCAGACGTAAGCTCTTGGAGTTAGACGAATGGGGACGGACAGGAGGGAACGGGGAGAGGGGGGGAGGAGGTGCGGGAAGGAGCAGGAGATTGTGCTGTGTGCCATGTTACTTTAGAGGCGTGAAGGGTGCATTCCTCAGCAGCAGCGTGCAGTGTGAAGCACGCACGTCTGCCTGGCTGGTCTGCTCGGTTTTTCTTTTCCTTGATTTGCCTTGTTCCCAATTCGTTTCTAGCATTTCGTTTCTAGCATTTCGTTTCTAGCATTTCGTTTCTAGCATTTCGTTCCCATTTCATTTCGTTTTCCGCGGTTTCTCCTGACACTCCTCCTCGCACCGCTCTCATGTCACTGCTCCCGTCCTGCGGTGCTCCTTCTGCTTCCCCCCCCCCCCATTCCCGCCCAACCCCATCTCTCTTGTCCCCCTTCCCCCCAGGGCGGGGCATCGCCTGTGGATATTGCTAAGGCGTATATGAGAGGTGACCTCCGCGCTGCTGCTGCTGCTGCTGCCGCTGCTGCTGATCCCTCTCCTAGTCGTGCACGGGCTAGCAGTGCGGGCAAGGCCGCTGCAGCAAGGCCTAGGCCCAGTGAGTCTCCTATTGCAGAGGGTGCGGGTGGGGATGACCTGCCATTCCCCGCTGCTGCCGCCGCCGCTGCTGCTGGGGGGCCTAACGGCGGGTTCTCTGGGACAGGACCTAACGGCGGGTTCTCTGGGGCTGGGCACGATGGGAGGTTCTCTCAAGAGCAGGGTGGAGAGGGGAGGGCGAGCGGGTGGGGTGAGATGGTGGTGGTGGATTCCAGGCGGCCGTCAGAATCTGTGGCGGGGGACATGTGGGGGCAGCAGGCGCAGCAGCGGGGGGAAGGCGAGGAGGAGGACGAGGAGGAGGGGGAGCAAGGGGAGGCAGAGGAGGGTGGGTGGGGAGGGGAGAGGGGGGTTGAGAGGGGGGGGTTGAACGGAGAGTTGGTGCGAGCGGTGTTTCCAGGGGCGTCTTCTCACGGCCAGTATCGTGCCTCCGTGCCTGCTACGCCCAAGGTGGGTCATGGGCGAAGGGTCGATGCAGCTATAGGGACATGCGTGCTCAACTGTGTGAGCCATGCGATCACGCATGGATGCCCCCTTGCTTACACACCTGCCACACCTGCCGCACCTGCCGCACCTGGCACACCTGGCACACCTGGCACACCTGGCACACCTGGCACACCTGGCACACCTGGCACACCTGGCACACCTGGCACACCTGGCACACCTGGCACACCTGGCACACCTGGCACACCTGCCACACCTGGCACCTACAGCCTCTTTGCCTCTGGCTTACAGTGTGCGCGTTCCATTTTTGTTCACCCCTCCCTTCTTAATGCTGTCCTGGTGAGCGCTGGGCGCTCAGTAAGCCCTGTTTCCTTTTGAGTCGACTCAAAAGCGCTGGGCTCAGTAAGCCCTGTTTCCTTTCTCCACCCGCTCCCCCTCTCCTTCCCCCTCCCCCTCTCCTTCCCCCTCCCCCTTTCCTTCCCCCTCCCCTCTCCTTCCCCCTCCCCCTTTCCTTCCCCCTCCCCCTCGTCCATCCCTCCCCCTTTCCTTCCCCCTCCCCCTCTCCTTCCCCCTCCCCCTTTCCTTCCCCTCCCCCTCTCCTTCCCCCTCCCCCTCTCCTTCCCCCTCCCCCTTTCCTTCCCCTCCCCTCTCCTTCCCCCTCCCCCTCTCCTTCCCCCTCCCCCTTTCCTTCCCCCTCCCCCTCTCCTTCCCCCTCCCCCTCTCCTTCCCCCTCCCCCTCTCCTTCCCCCTCCCCCTTCCTTCCCCCTCCCCCTTCCTTCCCCCTCCCCTCTCCTCCCCTCCCCCTTGGCCACTCAGTCCGCCAAGAGAGGTCGCGACGCTGACGAGGCAGACGCTGATTGGCTGAGAGGATCCGAGTCAGCGCGCCGCATTCGCCCTCGAGCCTCGCGCCAGCCAAACAGTCTCGCCCTCGTCTCTTTCCCACCCGGCCCTAGCGCTTATCCTCCGGGTCCTATCTCAAGGCGTTCAGATTTCCTCACAGGAGCTATAGCCGCCCCTCCCCTCCCTCCCCCTGCACTTTTTTCGGCGGGGGCTGGGAGTTTTCTCCCCTCTGCCCGGCTCCGCGGTCAGGCTGGCCGCTCGCATGCCTTTGCCTCTCGCAGCAGCAGCGGCGGGCCTCGCCTGCTGCCCGGAGACCTGCCCGGGTTTTCCCTCGGCGCGAGAAAGGGTGCTTGGGACAGGGCGTTCGAAGGGGTGGGAGACGCAGGAGGGCTGTTTCTGGAAAGGGATACGTTTGGGCTGTTCGGCCGAAAGGGCGTAGGCAAGGTGCGGAATGAGCCGTTGGAACGACAGAAGCGCCAGCAGCAGCAGGAGGAGGAGAGGCAGCAGCAGCAGCGAGAGAAGCAGCAGCGGGCAGAGGAGAAAGTGTTTTCTGGGCTGAACCTGGCCCCGTCTAAGTCGCTAGAGACGGCTCAGAAGATTCTGGCGAAACTAGAAGATATCACAGGGGGGGCTTTGCAAGGGGGGGGGGCTGCAGGGGGCGTCGATGGGCGCACAGGGGGAGCGGTCGAAAGCAGGGTTGGAGGAGACAGGGATTTGAGCGGGTTTAGTGGGATTGGGGGTGGGTTGAGTGACAGGGGCGTAGATAGCTGGAAGAGATTGGTGGGCCTGGGATCCAGGGCAGGTGATGGTTTTAGGGCAGGTACGGGTGCAGGTCCGGGTGCAGGTACGGGTGCTGGTATGGGTGCAGGTTCGGGTGCAGGGCGTTTGGGCAGGAGGGGTCAGGGGGATGAGATAGTGGCGCCTCCCTTGACGTTCCTCCCCACGTACATGGGCAAGAGGGCTGCTGGCGAGCGTCTGTCTGTTGCTGAACTTCCATCTGCGCAGCTGGCTCCAGGTGGTTTCTCAGGTGCTGTTTCAGGTGCTGCTGGTCTAGGTCCTGAGGGTGGGGTCCAGCGTGTGGGGCAGATGGGGAAGGGCAAGGAAATGGTTGCGGAGGAAGAAGAAGGGGTGTATGCACAGACTGCCTTGATTGAATCCGCTGCTGGTGGTCTTGGTGTGGGCGTTGCCGCGAATGCTGCTGCTGCTGGGCGCTCGCAGCCTACTGCTTCGGCTGCTCCTGCTCCTGCTCCTGCTGCTGCTGCTGCTGCTGCTTCTGCTGCTGCTGCTCCCAAACCGTTGACCCCTGTTGATTCCATCTCCAAGCCTGGATTCCCTTGGGCTGGAGGTACCGGGGCAGGCACCAGTATTGCAGGTGCGGGTGCAAGTACAGGTATGGGTGCAGGTGTAGGCACGGGTATGGGTACGTTTGGAGGTTCGGTCTGGGGTATGGCAGCAGGTGCAAGCACCGGTGCAGGTGAAGGGGCAGGAGCGAGCAGGGCGGCAAGAGCAGATGCAACTGGGGTAACTATACGAGAGAAGCGAGAGGATTCGCAGCAGGTTGGGGGCGAGGCAGAGAAGGATGGCGGAGTTGCGAGAGGATTTGCAGCAGCAGCAGGGGCAGGTGCAGGTGCAGCAGCGGCACCAACAGCAGGTGCCGCTGGTGCAGGTGCCACCAGTAAGGCTAGAGGTGGAGGAAGCAAGGAGAGAGAGCCGTTTGCCACGTCATCTGATGAGCCGACCATTGTGATACGCCCACGTGGATCCCCTGATGCCACGTCAGCAGGAGGGGGTGCACGTGCAGGGTTTGCTGGGGGTTTCTCATTCCACGGCACAGGGGCAGCCCCGGCAGGCTCGGCATTCCCCTCTGCAGGTTTGGAAACCCCGAAGCTGTTCGGTTCGGGCAGCATTTCCAAGTCCCAGACCTCTCCACCTGGAGCTGCTTTGGGCGAGAAGAAGGGTGCAGAGGTTGCCGAGCCTAAGTTCAGCTTCGGCAGCAGGCCAGGCTCGGCAGCGGGTCTGGATTTCAGTGTGGTAGTCGCCAAGGCAGCAGAGCCAGAGCAAGCAGCAGTAGCACAAGCACCAAAATTCCAATTCCGCTCTCCAGCTTTCTCCTTCAGGTGGGCACCCTTGTCACTACAAGGACGCAATTCGTCTTAAAGCCTTTTCTGCTGTCTGAAACTGTTAGAGCTAGTTGTTGTGAGTCCGCACTTGCTCCGTTCACAGCTGCATTCTGGCCCCTTCCCCCCTGTTTCCTACACTATGTTTGAGGCCCCTCAAAAATAGACTTTCCCGCTGTTTGGTACCCTATGTCACTACAATTCACCTTGGTATGTTGTGTCTGCTAAAAAATACCCTGGCCCCTTTCCGCCTGTTTCCTACGCTATGTAAGTACAATTCACCTTGGTATGCTGTGTCTGCTCAAAAATACCCTGGCCCCTTTCCGCCTGTTTCCTTCGCTATGTAAGTACAATTCACCTTGGTATGTTGTGTCTTCTCAAAAATACCCTGGCCCCTTTCCGCGTGTTTCCTGTGCTATGTAAGTACAATTCGCCTTGGTATGTTGTGTCATGCTTCCATCCTCGCCATCCATGTATGTCTGCTGCTTCCCCATCCTCTACCCTCCTCATCCTATCCCTTCTCGCCCCATCCCTCGCACCATTCCCCTTGTGCCTTCCCCCTGTGCCTTCCCCCTGTGCCTTCCCCCTGTGCCTTCCCCCTCTGCCTTCCCCTTGTGCCTTCCCCCTGTGCCTTCCCCCTGTGCCTTCCCCCTCTGCCTTCCCCCTCTGCCTTCCCCTTGTGCCTTCCCCCTGTGCCTTCCCCCTGTGCCTTCCCCCTGTGCCTTCCCCTTGTGCCTTCCCCCTGTGCCTTCCCCCTGTGCCTTCCCCCTGTGCCTTCCCCTTGTGCCTTCCCCTGTGCCTTCCCCCTGTGCCTTCCCCTTGTGCCTTCCCCCTGTGCCTTCCCCTTGTGCCTCACCCCTGCAGCATGGCTGTGCCATCACCATCACCATCGCATGCCTCAGAGCCAGGCTGCTGGAGCCATGCGTTGGTTATTTGCATGCAACCGCCGCTCCTCACCCCATCCCTCCTGCCCTCCCCAATCCCTTGCACCGATCCACATGTGTCTCCCTCACCCCTGCAGCAAGGCTGTACCATCACCATCGCATGCCTCAAAGCCAGACTCGCCAGCTGCAGCTCCTGTGTCTGTTGCCGCTGCGACTTCTGCCGGCGCTACAGCCGTTGCTGCTACAGCCCCCTCCTCCCCCTCCTTCCCATCCTCGCCCATCACTCCCGTCGCCTTCTCATTCAGATCCCCAGCCGCCACTACTACCAGCGCTGCCGCTGCTGCTGCTGGTGCGTTTGCTGCTGATAAGCCACAAGTGCTGGCCGCACCCAAGGCCCTTTTTGCCACGTCCTCTCCCTTCACGTCGTCGGTGGTTCCTAGCACTGGTGCTGCTGGGAATACCAAAACTGGTGCTGCGGAGACCGCACCAGGTACAGGCTTAGGCTCTGGCACAGCGGCTTCAGCAGAGGCAAAGGCACCAACTGCCACTCCGGTGTTTTCCTTCGGCGCTTCTGCCCCAGCTAAGAGTGGCTTTGCCTTTGGTGCTGCCACTCCTGCATCTTCCCCAGCTAAGAGTGGCTTCGCCTTTGGTGCTGCCCCTGCGACTCCTGCGTTTGGGGCGACCACTCCTGCTGCTGCTGCTGCTGCTGCTGGTGCTGGTGGTGCAGCAACAACCACTCCTGCCTTTGCAGTGACACCCTTCTCCTTTGCAGGAAAGAGCAGTCCCACAGAGGCAGGTGCAAAGATAGGGGCAGGTGGCGGGGATGGGGAGGAGGGTGGGGAGGGGGAGGGGGATGGGGAGGGGGATGAGGTGAGTGAGAGACTGCAGTCGGACAGGCCAAAGAAGAGGGGTGGCGTTGCTGTGTGGGGCAAAGGAAGCAGCAGCCCTGTTGCTGATGGTGGTGATGGTGGTGATGGCGGTGCTTTTCCCAACCCTTTCAAGGCGAGGGCTTCCCCACCAACTGCTGATGGTGCTGCTGCTGCTGCTGTTGCTGATGGGGGTGATTTTCCCAACCCTTTCAAGAAAAGGGCCTCCCCACCAACCCAGACATCCGACAAGCCGGCACAGGCCTCCCCATTTCCCTCATCCCCCTCCCCATTCCCCTCCCCTCCCTCCCCATTCTCTCCCTCTCCATTCAAGTTCGGCTCACCAGCAGCAGCGGCAGCAGCGGAGGGAACAGCAGCAGGCACCGCCTCTGCTCCCATGTTCGCATTCACCTCCTCTCCTCCTCCTGCCGCCGGCTCCTCCTCTCCGTCGATCCCCGCTTCCTCTCTGCCCCCCTCTTCTGCGTCCCTGGTTTTTAATACAGCTGCAGCAGATGCTGGTGCTTCGAAAGCAGCAGCCGGAGCGTCTTCCTCTCCTGTCTTTTCGTTCAGTGCTGCTCCCTCCTCCACACCCGCTCCCTCCTTTCAACTCTCCCCTTCAATGCCTGCCACTGCTTTCGCTCCCCCCACTTCGTCTGCTGCTCCTCTCTTCTCCTTTGCCTCCAAGAGCCTGTCACCATCACCATCCCTTGCCGCTGCTGCCTCATCCCCCGCTGCTGGCGGCTTAACCCCTGCTGCTGTTGCTGCCTCATCCCCTGCTGCCGCTGCTGCCGCTGCTCCGCTCTTCTCGTTTGGTGCGACTCCATCCGCCCCGCAGTTCTCCTTTGGCAAGGCGGCAGGTACAGGGACATCCCCGACTGCCACCCCTGTATTTTCCTTCTCTGCTGCTGCTTCCTCGGCTGCTGCTGGTACTTCGAGCTCTGCACCCTCTTTTGGCCTGTCATCCGCTCCTGCTGCCACTGCTGCTGCTGCTGGTGCTGGTGCTGGTGCTGCTGATGGTGTCAGCAAGGGCCTGTTTACATTTGGAGGGTCTGCAGCAAATGGCGTTGCTGCACCGTCGCTGCCAACTTTCAGTTTTGGAGCGTCAGCATCAACAGGCTCAGCAGCAGGATCAACAGCAGCTCTTGCGGCCCCTCTCTTTGGGGGTTTCACCCCTCCCCCTGCTGCAGCCGGTAATGCTGCTGATGGTGATGGGGGCAGTGGTGGTGCAGACGGCAATGAAAATAATAACCCAGGTGCGGATGGTGCTGCTGTTCCTGCTGCTGCTTCGCCGTTTGGTGGGTTTGGGGTGAATGGGAATGGTGGGGGGTTTGTGGGGGCGTCTGGAGGGTTTTCCATGGGTGCTGGGGGGGATGCAGGTGGGGATAAGACACCAGCAGCATCGAATATTGCGGGAAGGAGAATCGTCAGGGCGAAACGACCTCTGGCAAGGCGAAAATAGGGGAGGTGTGGGTGAATGAATTGATTGCCGTAGGTTGGACATTTGTTAGGTAGCAATTTTGATTTAAGCACTGTTCGTTTCATAGGTTCCTTTTCTAACATTCTTTACTCTAATGCCTTTGGCGCATTGAATTGAAGTGGCCCATCTTGCTGGGATACGAATTTACCATGTTCGCTCGCCTCTGGACAGTGATTCCCAACTTGTACTCCGATTGAGACAGACTGTAGCGGAGAATTGTACGCGAGGGGGACAAGGCGCACCAAATATCTCTCCTTCGGGGGGGAGAAGGCAGCAAAGCCCCCCTCTCGCAAAACGTTCTAAAAACCCTAATCCCGACCTCTCAGTTCCTACCTCAATAGCACCGTCACCCCTCCTTCGCTCACGCCGTAGTCACCGCATCTTCCCTCACTCCCAGGCGATATTAGTCTTGTGTTTTGAGAAAGTATTGGCGGCTTGTTAGTAGAGAATATTTTCTTTGAGGCGTTTCGTAACTCGAGGAGTCTTTTAGCGAGCTGAGAATGGCGAAGAAGGACGAGAAGACGCCGAAGAAGAGCAAGAGCGAGGCGGCGGGTGACGAGGTCGAGAAGACGCCCAAGCGGAAAAAGAGCGACGCGACAGCCGGCGACGAGCCGACGCCGAAGAAAAAGAAGTCGGAAGCCGCCGCCGCCGCGGGGAGCGACGGCGCGACGCCGAAGAAATCGAAGAAGAAGGAGAAGGAGGGGGGCGACAAGGGCGCTATAGCGGAGGCGGGAGCCGCGGAGGCGGAGGCGCTGAAGTGGCGGAACGTGTGCGCCATCGCAAAGCCGCTGGCGGACCCGAAGTTTAACCAGAAAGTGCTGAAGCTCGTCAAGAAAGGTGCTTGCATTGAATCGCAATTCCTTTCATAAATCGCGCGGAGGGGAGGGGAGTGTCGAGGGGAAGGGAGCGGGGGGTTTTTTTTTTTGGGGGGGGGGGGGGGGGGGGGGGGGGGGGAGGATGTGGGGGGTTGTGAGGGGAGGAAGGAATTCAGCGAAGACGATTCGGTTATATTGTTTTGAGGTTACCCCCCCTCCCCCCCGCCCGCCCTCCATCCCCCGCCGCTACCAGCCCCTCTTTATTTTTGTATTCCTTCCCTGCATTGTCCCTTCTTCTCATCTGTGTCTCCATGTCCGTCCGTCCTTTCACAAATGGGCTCGTGACCCTCTGTGCGTCTCGCTGTCTTTACCATTATTGTTCTCCTTAACGGTCCTCGCCTTCGTTCTGCCGTGTCCTCATTTCTCCCTTGTCTGAACCGGTAACCGGTTCGATCCCTGCGAGCAGCGGCGAAGAACAAGGGGTTTCTACGCAGAGGAGTGAAGGAGGTTGCTAAGGCCATTCGGAAGGGCGAAAGAGGGTGAGTTATTATGCGTGTGTTTCTATGTTTCTTTATGGTAAGGACATTCGCTTGACCCTTGCCCTTCATGGAATTTTTTTTTCTCTCATTCCTAGTCCCTCCCGCCCGTTTCTCCCCAATTTCGTCGTGTGCACAACTTGCCCTACTCCCACCCGTTTCTAACTCCCTTGGCCCCCCTTCCCTCCCTCCTCCCGTTGCTCTCCTTGTCTCTTCCTGCATCCCGCAGCGTGTGTCTGCTGGGCGGGGATGTGTCGCCCACTGACGTCATCTCTTGAATCGACTCAAAAGCCCCCTCCTGCCGTTGCTCTCCTTGTCTCTTTGTCCCCCGGTGCATCCCGCAGCGTATGTGTGCTGGGCGGCGATGTGTCGCCCATTGACGTCATCTCGCACCTCCCCATTGTATGCGAGGAGGCCAACATTCCCTACACCTATGTGCCCAGTCGCGCTGTAAGTAACCATGTAACCCTATTACCAATAAGAGTCATCTCCCGTCTCCCCATTGTGTGCGAGGAGGCCAACATTCCCCACACCTACTACGTGCAGTAAGTTACCCTGTAACATGTAACTCACGAACCCAGTGCAGACAACGGCAAGGCCTCCATTTCTAGTGCCCTATTCTAACATCCTGTGCAGAAGAGTGAAATCATTTTTAGGTATCCCTTTTCACCATCTCCCTTGTCGCTGCTTGTCTTATGTTTACCTGTGTGGGCATCAGGACCTGGGCAATGCTGCGATCACAAAACGGCCCACAAGTGTCGTCTTGATCCTACCGACTGCGTCAAAGGGGAAAGCAGCAGAGTTGGAGGAAGGGTTTGCTGATGATTTCAAAGTGGTGCAGGGTGAATGCCAAGAGAGGCTCAACAAGTGGCTTCAAGAGAAATGACAATTGTGATACCCTTAATATTTTCGGCTCTTACAGTTTGATCTTTGTTTTCTAGCGCAATCAACCTGCTTAATTTCATGATACAGGTAGCTTCTTTCGCATGGAAGGTAAGGCATTGACGGCTGGTGGGAAATGCAGCTGATTCTTATTTTACCAGCTTATGGTTGACGCTTTTCTCCGAGTTTATGTAGATGGTCACACCCGTAAATGAAGAGCCGCATACAGTCACACTGGTAAGTCAATGTTTCGACAATTTGTCGGTGCCTCGCTGCTCTACTGTGTACCTGTACAGTTGGTGTATTAAAGGGCTGTGTGAAAAAATACAACGAAAACAGTGCTCGTATGAGGTGAGACTTTGCTGATCGCGGAAGGGTTCTTGGTAACTAGTTTCACCTTCATACCAAAACTTTAGGAGTAATGTTTTGCTGGGTTCGGTTTCCCTTGATTTCTGGATGAGGTTCGTCTTGTTAAAGCCCGACCGGCAGGTTGCAACTCTCTTTTTCTCAAGATGCTGCATCTTGAGAACCTGTAACTGACTCCACCCCCAGCAGCAGTTGACGAGACTCAAGCACCTCAACTTAGTGCCTCGACAAACTTGGCAGGTTTGCGTCCCTGCCAAGTATCGAGGCGAGGAAGCAAAGACTGTGCGCGAAGGGTAATTATTTGTACAAATTTCGACTTTCGGGCGGTTTAGTGCGAGTGTACCAATTTGTGTTTGATTGCGCAAGGGCAAAATTGACGCCCAATAGTTGGAGTTTCGTTTTCTTCCAACTTGCCCGAACCAAAAAAAAAAAGAGGTTGGCTGTTTGCGCAAAAACGCAGGCACGCAAACCCCTTTGCAACATGGCAAAGAGTCAAGTGTGAGTCCCCTGCCACCTGACGGGGCTCAAACCTGACACCTCTGCCAGGTTGCGTAGCCCTCGGGGACTCTCGCGCAAGCAGGAGCTGGACGAAGATAAAGTTTCGCAAAACGATTTCGTTCATCTTTTTCCTCGTCAGCCAATCATAATTTGCCGCCCCACCTACCTCAACAGTACCAATATGCAACCTGCCAGTCGGGCTTTAATAATCCACCAGTACCTTACGTTGATTCGGTACGTGATGCACTTATGGAAATCTGTCAATGGTGGTACATACAACCACCACCCCCCCTCCTCCTCTTCATAATCTACTTAACAGCGAAGGTAGCAGTTCAATTCCCTACGTGGTTTTGCTCTCTTGGTCCCCTTGTGAGGCGCCCTGAGTCATGCTAGGAGCGGATTCCTCACACCCCTAGGGTGCATTGGGCTGTCCCGTTGCCCTGCTAAGTCACTGTGAGAATGACAGTACCGTATAATGTAGCTCTTGGGCGAGTCCGTTCGTCAATGGGTATGTTTCGGGAGATTCCGTGTACTAGCGGGTAATTAGGATGCTGATACCGTTCCCTAGCAGAATGCCCAGGCCATGGCGAGAGTTCCGTCAGCAGCATGCGACATTTATTGTGCTAAGCTCGAAGAAGCTTCGAGTGACGAATCTGGCGTCAGCAGTATGACTGGTGGCAACTCTCTTTTTCTCAAGATGCTGCATCTTGAGAACCTGTAACCGACACACACGCAGCAGTGGTTGACGAGACTCAAACACCTCAACTCTGTGCCTCGACAAACTTGGCAAGTTTGCGTCCCTACCAAGTATCTAGGTGAACAAGCACGAAGTGTGCTCGAAGGGTAATTACTCGTTCAAATTTTTACTTTCAGGTGGTTTAGCGCAAGTGTACCAATGTGTGTTTGATCGCACAAGGGCGAAACCGAAGCCCAATAGTTGAGTCTCGTTTCCTTTCAACTTGCCCTAACAAAAAACGATTGGGCTGTTAGCAAAAATGCAGGCACGAAAACCCCCCTTGCAACATGGCAAAGAGGCAGGTGTGAGTCCCCTGCCAAATGACGGGGCTCAAACCTGACACCTCTGCCAGGTTGCGTAGCCCTTGGGAACTCCCGTGCACGCACGAGGTGGACGAATATGAAGTTTCATAAAAATCGCTTATATTTTTCCTCGTCAACCAATCGTAACCTGCCGCCCCACTACTTCAACAGTACTTATATGCAACCTGCCGGTCGGGTTTTAAATTTTGCATATTTTCCCTACACTGAGAGAGGGCCACCCTACACAAAATTTGCTTGAATGCTTCCCAGTGATTTCAGATATGAAAGCCATTCTACGCAGTAAAATTGCTAACGAGCGTCAAACTTTTGATCAAGCTGCCCACCTGAACAAGGTTGGCCTGATCAGCACCCGAAAATCACCTTGCTCCTTGCCCGTGCCTTCGAGGCAGGTGACAACGAGACGAATTGTGCGTTTGCGAAATGCAACTGCTTTTGGCGGTCCTCAGGGAGCGGTTTCTTTCGTTCCTATTCGTGCAATTTCATGCAACTCCAGCGTCTTTCGTCCCGCTGGCAGTGCTGCTCTTGTTCGTTCCAGTCTCGTCTGATCTGATCACGCAACCCGACAGGCACGCAGGAAGCAAGCAAGCATTCCTTCCACTACAAACAAGGGAGCGTAGCGTACCTACAGTATCTTTTCCCAAGGCCTCTCGTCTTGCGCTTTCGTCGAGGCCCAGCCCGGGCCGTAACGGTCGCTCCCTCCCAGCTTATTTTCCATTGCTCCCCCTGACGCTAATTCTGGCCTTTCGCACCACTTAACGTGGACATGCCAGATTTGCTGCCTGCAATGTTTGCTGCTCCCAGCACGTGGTACACTGTGGTCAGAACGATAAGACATAACGGCCGCTGCCCCGGATGTTAGTTAGGCTTCAGATCAGGTTAGACCCTGCAGCGAGCACCTTACCTCTAGGACAGAAAGCGAGACAGCGAGACAAAAAGCCTAATGCAATTTCTCCATTCCTCTGAGCCGCGTTGCCCAGTCATTGGGCATGGGCTTACCGCATTTTGCGGCAGATTGTGTCCATGTCCATGATTCGCTGTTTGCCTCGTCGAACGGATACTCATACATGCACCCACAGCGACATTCCTGTAACGTAGCCCATTGTCGGTGTGGCGGAGGCGATTCGGGTGTCTAGGTTCAAGAGTTTGCTTGATTGGAAGGGGACAGGACTGGAAACTTCCACCCCACTTCCGCGATTTCTAGAACTAATTATCGAATTGATTGCCCGCTTGGTCCGAAATCCGATCTACTACAGTAGGAGACGGGACCTTAGTTACCATTGGCCTGGCCACAGTTCCGAGCTCTGTCATGTGGTGCTTCACGATAGGGGGTCCGAGACCGAGACCAAATGTCCTACCCATGACGTGAAAGACGCGATTTTTGCATCGGCTCAAAAGCATGACCGACGCGATCAAGTGTGAATGACCAGACACCCGACGACGCGACGTCGCGACGCAATTCGAGAACACCAGCCACCAAAAATCTTCCGTTCTATCCCGAGGCCTCCGTTTTTCGCGCTCAGTTCCCTGTCATACAACAACCCCAGTCACCGCTACCAGCAGCACGAGCCCACAGAAGGTCGGTGTTCGTTAGACCGGTTGGACAAAGCCAAGGCGTAATGGACAAGACGAAAACCCTCGAGAGTGCCGATGCGGGGGGTTTACTGGAGACGGATTTATCCCTCACCCTTACTCCCTTTGGCGCCTCCAGGAGACGAGAGGACGAGGAGAGTCCTTTCCGCGGTCCCAGGAGACGGGAGGACGAGGAGGTTGTACTTTCGCGAAGCGATTCGACAACGCGACCCGCGGAGCCGCGGCTCGACAGATTTCCGACGTCGGGCAGTCGAACGCGTAGTCCGCCGGCCGTGGCGGGCAGCTTGGAAAAATCGCAGGATAGTCCCGCCAAAACTCCCACCGAGGCTCGTCAGCAGGTTCGGCAGCAGCAGCAGCAGCTACAGCAACTCCTGGCTCGGTTGCAGCAGTTTAACCCGCCGGCTTTTCCGCCAGGCCCTTTCCCCCCGCAGCCGCGCGCTACTGCCTTCCCCCGGCATGACGTGGCAAATACTCCAACCGCCGGCCCGGGGATCGCAGCGCCGACGCGGCCGCCGCAATTTCACATCCCAGCTCTGGCCCCCTTCTCCGCCGGATCGCCCGCTTCGCCGCGCGGCGCCTCCGATGTTCCGCCAGGCGCGCCGTCAGCGCACCACGCAGCGGCGGTGGATTCAGTTGCGCAGTTCCTCCGCAGCCTCGGCGCGCCAGCTCCTTCCGCCTTCCCTGGGATGTTGCTCGCAACTGCCCCCCCCTTCTCCGCCGCGGCCGCGCCTTTTTCCGCTCCCTCGCTTACCATTTCCGCATTTCCCGCACCCGCGGCTTCCGCCGCTGGCCGCTCTCCTGCCTCCGCCGGTCCAGCGCCCGCTACCCCCGCTCCCGCAACACCAGCGCCTTCGGCTTCCGCTACTCCCGTCGGCGCCAGCGCCGGCGTTGGGTCTGTATCAGAGCAAGCGCTGGCGCGGCTTTTGGGCGCGCCTGGCGGAAATCATGCTGCGGAACTGGAACGCCTCGCGCTAGTGGCGCGGCTATGGGGCGCGGCAGGCCTCGTTACAGCGCCGTTGGCGAAAAATAGCGGTGTGCAAGTGGTAGGAGAAGGCGGAAACTGCGGCAACAAACCTGAGACAAGCAGAAGCGCGGAGGGTATACTGTCCCGCCCTGTTTTCCCTGGGGAAATCAGGAGGGGGGCGGGTGGTGAAGCGGACATGGTAGCCGCGCGGAAGGGGGGGGAAGATTTTGTACGCGGAGGGGCGAGCGGGAAATGTGCGGATGCTGGTGGTGATTCCGCAAAGCCAGATTCGGGCGGGTTGAGATCGGTTGGTGGTGGTCCAAATTCTGGCGAAGGTGGTCGAGACGGAATGGCGTTACAGCTACACTCTGAACCAGCGTTACAATTGTTCCAACCACAGTTACAATCACAGCAATTGCTCTCATATTCGCACCCACTTCATTTGCCACCGCCTTCAGGAACAGAACCTGCCGCTTGGGCTCGAGCACTTGAGTTTCTCAAAAATCATCCCAGCGTCATGGCAGGAGGAGGAGGAGGAGGAGGAGGAGGGGCAGCACCAGATGCAGATGTGAGCCCAGTGCTAGGGGCAGGGCTAGAAATAAGCGGGGCAACTAGGATAGGTGGTGCAAAAACACAATGTGAGGAAGCGGCAGTGGGGAGACAAAGGACTGTGGCTCAGCCAATACTAAAACGAAGCAGGTTTCATGAAGATGCAGGCAGAGAGGGGTGGGAAGGGGAGCGGGCGGATGGAGGAAACAACCTGGGGGGGAGGGAGGTGGAAGGAGTGACGACGGTGGGGCAAGGAGGGGAGGTGGGGGTGACAAGGGCAATGTGGGGCGTGGACACAGGGCTGAAGAGAAAGCTCAGTGCTATTCTTGCTGGTGCCTCGGGACTTGCTGCTGCTGGTATTGCTGATGGCAGTGCTGGTGGTGGTGGTGGTGGTGCTGCTGCTGCTTCTGCTGCTGCTGCTGCTAATGCTGCTGTAGGTATAAACATGGCGGTTGCTGGTGGGGGTGCTGCTGGTGCTGCTGCTTCAAGCGTCCGTCTCATTGGTCCTGATAAAAGAGACAGGGAAGGTGGTAAGGAGGGTGGTGGGAGCTGCGAGAATGACGAAGGGGAGAATGCCGGCGCACTGGGGGAGACAGATGGTGCTGAGCTGGAAGCAGCAGAGCGAATGAGTGGGGGGAGGAGTGTGAGGGGGAGGGGCGGGGAGAAGCAGGAGGAACAGGAGGAGAGGAAGGAGATGAAGCGGGAACGGAAGGAGGGGGAGGCGAGGAGGAGGAGGGGAGTGGGAGCAAGAGGAAGATGAGGCTGACCCAGGAGCAGCTGAGCACAATGGAAGCAGTATTCAAGAAGACCCCCAGGCTCACCCCCAGGGAGAAGGGCGCCCTGGCGGGGCGGCTGGGCGTGCGCGTGCGGCAGGTGGAGGTGTGGTTTCAGAATAGGAGGGCGCGCACTAAGGTGAAGCACACAGAAGCGGAGCTGGACGGCTTGAGGCGCCGATGCAAAGCACTAGCTGATGAGAATCGCTGCCTAAGGGAGAGGCTCAGTGTAAGTGTCTGAAGCCCTTACAGTGGCAAAGCTTTTCCGTCTCAATTGAAGGTGACGTTTGTTTGGGCAGGTGTGGCTTGTGCCTATGCTGCCATAAACCCTCTTTTGACCTTTGTCCTGGCTTTCCAAGACAGCGTCATGTGCTGACATTTCTGTTTGCTTTTGTGTAACGCATGCAGCAAAAGCAAGAGCAACAGCGACAGCAGCAGCAGCAGGGGCGACCGCATCAGTTGGCAGAGCAGCAACAGCCGCAGGGGCAGCAGCAGCAGGGACAAACAGGCTCCCCTGGCAGCAGGGAGCAGACTAGAGAAGCAACATGGGTGCTTTGCACCTCCTGCCGATGCTCTCAACAGCAGAACACGGAGGCAGGAGAAGAGGGTCTGAGGCTGACAGCATTAGAAATGGTGGCACACTTGGGAAGCCAGCCTCTAGGACAAGAGGATCAGCAGTTGCCGAACCAGCAGAGGCAGCAACATCAGCAGCAATGTCTGCACCAGCAACAGCAGCAGCAACGGCCGCTCAGTCTTCAATTACAGCAAGCAGTTGAGCAACACCTGGGAACTCTAGCTGAACTGCCCAGGGCCAGAAATAAAAGAGATGATAGCCATGCAGATTTACCATCTGATATGTCACCAGGTTCGTTTCTCAAGCTCTGATGTATAAATTGCTCTACACATAGTGAGCACACCTCTTATATTTCACAACAAACGGAATTCCCCTAGGTGACAATACTATCACGATAGGCTAGGTACCTAGGAAGGGTAGGTGGCCATGGAAATGGCGTGAGGTTTTAGGCTAGGAAAGTTGACGAGAGAAAAGAGGTCAAGAATAGAAGAGGGATACAAGGAGGGGTGTTGCTCCCTCTACAGCAGGGTGCTGTATCCCCTACCAAGCCTACAATTATATAACATACATATGATTTACCAAATACGTGATGGGCATGTGCACAATTTGCTGTGAGATGGAATATCTTAATGTAGTGGCACTACAGGTTCACTTTCTGCTGTTGAGCCTACAAGAAGCTGCCTAACCTATCCGCAAGAATGGTTTGTAGGTATTGCATTGGATTTAGACAAAGTACAGTGATTGCTACAGTAGGAGCAAGATTATGGGCTTGGGCACAAGCAAAGAATATGGAGCAGAAGGAAGCAGGGCAGCGTCACTGCAGCAAAGGCCTGTCAACCTCGTGTCAGCATGAAGACTTGCGAAAATCTGAAGAGAGATCTGTAAGAGACGTATTTGAGTACCGTATCTGTTTTTCATTCCTCCCCATCGGCCTTCCTCAGTGATCCCAGCTCCACAGGCGCTGATGTGCCAACAACCTTCGACGAGGAGAACACAGACGCGTCCGTGCCCTTGGCCTTCTCCTTCTCGATTTGTGTCGTGATCCACTTGTACGTGATTGTGAGCCCATCCTGCAAAAAGGCACACCAATCGTTTTCAGCTTATGATTCACCATATTCTGAAAGACGACTCGCTTGTTAAAACAAAACAGGGGGTGCAGAAAAGGGGAAGGGGGGGGGGGGGGGGGGGGGGGAGGGGGGGAGTAGAGGAAAGTAGGGTGCAAGAGCCTGATGGGTCAGAGGGAAATCGCAAGACTTACAATGAGCTTCATCGAAGGAGCCCAGCCAAGCTTCTCCCGGATCAACGTGTTGTCCGAGTTGCGTCCTCGCACGCCCTCGGGGCCCGGGATGTGCTCGATGGGCAGGTCCTTGTGCTCGATGCTCATCACCATGCCCGCCATGTCATTCATGCTCACGCACTCGTCGCTCCCGATGTTCAGCGGCTCCCTGAAGTCCGACTTGGTCAGCCTGCAAGGTGTCGCAGTCGCAGACAGGAAAGCGCAAGACAGAGGATTTTGATTGGCTGGGAAGGGCGGAAAACAGGTACACTTTCCTTTGGTACTCCACAAAGAAAGAACAGCCCATCCAGACACCCCCGAAAGAAATATCTACCCGCAATATTTACCTGCACTCGTGTCTATGTAGCCACGAAATGCCTCTGGGATTCGGTAGGCTGATCTTAAAGAACCCCCAATATCATGATTCTAACTTCTTTTTCCAGTTTCTTAACTCCCACGATCTAATGCCTCGCCCAGCTTCCTTTCTTGCTGCCTATAGAATCCAGACCAGGGACTTGGGAGCAAGCAATGATAGACATACCTGAGGACGCCTTCCACACACTCGTCGATGAAGGTGAACGACCTCGTCTGCTTGCCATCGCCCCACATCTCAAAGTGATCCTTCGACGTCAGCACCTTGCGGCAGAACGCAGCTGGCGCCTTCTCGCGGCCACCTGAATCAACAATGTCAACCAGTCAGAAAAACCTTCCAAAAATAACTTCCGCGCCCAGAAACCGGGAGGATTAGGCAAGAAACTTGCAACTGAAAACCAAAGCAACGTACCCTTCCATGTGCCGAAGGGGCCGTAAATGTTGTGGAAGCGGCCGATTCTGCACTCCACGCCGAAGTCCTTGGTGTAATGCTTGCAGAGCTCCTCAGTCACCAGTTTCTCGAGACCGTACGCGTCTTGAGGCTGCAAATAGAAACGATCCGTGTTATATTAACATGTGAATTAAAACCCGGATTGGGAATCTAATTACCAATATGGAAACAACAATTATTTCGCATATCGAGAGTGCTAACTCATGTGAGGACAGTGAATTAATAGATCGCGACTCACCTCAGCAGGCCAGGCATCCGACTCTTTAAGATTGACGTTGTCAGTCTCGAGCTGACGGAATTCAGGGTAGATGCACGCACTCGAGGCGTAGAAGAAGCTGCACGAGAGAAAAATGGAATCGATTTAGCTTCTGCAAGTATATAGCACGATAAAAGAAACAAGTTCACTCCTTCATTACAAATTATAGCTTGATTGTTGAAATTAAAAAGGCTTACCGAGAGACACCGTTGATACGAGCAGCCTCGAGCATGTTGAAGCTGATCATGGTGTTGTTGTAGAGAATCACGGAGTGATTCGACTGGATGAACCCCATGCCACCCATATCAGCAGCCAGGTTGAACACATGCTCCACTCCCTTGGTGACCTTCAGACAGTTGTCCATGACACGTAAATCCACGAGATGAAACTCATCGCAGAACATGTCCTCGGTCATGTGCTCGTTCCTCTTCCAGTCCGATGCGATCACGTAGTGACCCTCCGATTTCAATCGGCGCGCGATGTGCGATCCGATGAAACCGCCGGCTCCGGTGACGGAGATCCTGAGCTTCTTCTCGGGCCAGTAGGGCTCGCGCTCGAGGTTCGAAGCAGTGAAGGAGCCATAGTCGCTAGAAGCGGCCATAACTGCAAACACAGATGTGATCACTGAGGAAAGCTGGAGACTGGAGAGAGGTTGAGGCTTGACTAGGCAAGCCGGACCACAAAGAAGCTGAGCTTTACAGAACGGTCGCAGAAACTGAATGTTTATGGAGCAGCCGTGCCAGCCCAACCCCTAGGGAGGATTGTTTGGGGGAACCAACTCGACCAATCAGGAAGCGGCGTGGGTGACGCAAAGCGATGAGACCTCAAAAAGTTCTCCCGCCAAGTATATTCTCTGGGGGGCAGCTGGCACCAAGCCCAGGGGAGCGCGACTCGCCTCTTTGCCCACACAATTCTCAAGGCTAATCCAATGGCAGGCACTGGAGTCCACAAAAAGCTTTCGCCCTGCAATCCGACCGACAAATCGATGGTGCTGGGCAGTGTTACGGGCAGTCGAACTAAAGGGATGGTGGTGTTCGTGAGACGAGACACACCAAAATTACTGACGTGGCAGCCTTAAAGTCCCCTTGGGAGTGAGGTAGGAAGACACGGTGGTTGGGGCTCTGCAAGGGCCACGTGTTCAAGCCCAGAGCTCATGAACCGACCTTGAACTAGCACGCGATTCGCGCTTATTCACTGACGTGGACACTAGCAATTCGCCTGGTCCCACAGTCACACGCACCCATGCCATTCAATTCGTATGGTGTACCAAAGGAACAATACGAATGGCTCCTCACTGCAATGTTTGTGCAAGTCCACTAATGTGTGGGTATGCTATGCATGCATGCTACTGGCCAAGAAAACATCACATAAGGTCCGGCCCAAATAACAAGAGCATCCATTTAACAATCAGCGTTGATTCCAACGTGCTAGACATCTACACACCAAATGACTGAACCCTCTAACTAATGCTTTAGGCGAAACTTGTCGCATCTAAAAGTCCACATAGAGGCCAGGCTCTACAATGACACTTCCTAACCAGCACGCCTACACAACAAGGGTGTCCAAAGCGAGGTCACATCTCCTCTTGCGATTTTCTTACGCATCGACCAACCTTTTTCTTGAACACATCCCGCGTCTCCCGCCACTCTTTCTGTTGGTGTGGAGAATGGGGGAGGATGGGCACAGAGCAGGCATTGCGCCAGAAGCGATGGGGCATTGAACAGTCGAGACAGAGAGCAAGCGAGAAAGTGTTTGTGAAGGGGGGAGTGATGGGAGAAAGGAAAGTGAGTGGGAGAGAGAGGTGGGAGGAGGGAAAGAGAGGAGGGGAGGGGAGATTGAAAGAGAGGGAGGGAGGAGGGTGGGTGTGAGGGGGAAAGAGAAAAAGAGACGGATGAGAGAAAATGGATGCGCGCAAAGGAGTGAATAAAGCAAAGAGGAAACGATGCGAGCGAGAGAAAATAGGCGAGGAGAGTGTGGGAGAGATGGGCGAGGGAGGAAGCGATGGGGGAGTGTGAGGGGGAGAGCGAGAGAGTGACAGACTGAGAGAGAGAGGATTGCCGGGGCAAACGGGATTCAAGACAGTGGGAATGGCAAGGGCGGGGTAAAATCCAAGAGAACGGCGGTGGCAGCACTGCAACACATGCAACACAGGGCTCGGATCGAGCAGCTCACCGCTGCATCAATATTGGCAGGCGACTCGTCGTTGGGGCTTGACAGCATGGAGATGATGCTCAGCAGGATGGTTTCCACCTGAGAAGGGGTCAGGAACCAGATGTGGTCGGGAACCAGATGTGGAAGCACATACACACACACGGAACGGACGTATCACATACATACGGAACGGATTATACAAACCATGCAGCCAACCCACGCAGTGTTCACAGGAGAGCAACGAATTGACTCCGCTTGGCTTACAAACATATGTGCAGGAGCCCACAGCTTGCAAGGGAGACCAGTACTTACAGTGTGAAAAGCAGACATATGAGCTGACCGAAGGAATTTGTTAAGGAGCTTACAGTGTGCACAGGCGACCAGCGTTCGCTGGCCAGCTCGTAGCCATTGGGGTCATCGCCAGGCGCATGCAGAATCGATATGCACACCCGGCCGTCCGGGTAGACTGCCGTGGGGGAGGAACGATAAAGAGGCAGAACAGGAAGGAGAAAGAAATAAATAAATCGCCAGATAAAGTGGTTACATAGACGATGGCCACCAGCAGATCCGCTATCGAATCACCTTCTGGCCGGCTCACAACCTCGACCTCCAGATGATTTTGATTCGTCGAACATTCAAGCGACGTGAGCCAGGGAAGCAAAAACGGACCGGGAGCGAAGGCGGGAATTTGGTGGCCGATTGGAGGCTCACCGTTTGGGCCAACAAAGGCTCACCGTTTGGGTGCCACATTTCCGACGTGAACCGCACTTGCGGTGGGCTGTTGGGGTAGTTGTTTGGGAAGCTCATGATTGCATTGAAGAAACCAC